CATTTAGAGCGTGAACTCTGTTAACTTTGAAGTTTTGATAAATGCTTTTGTTGTTAGCTTACTTTGTAATAATTAAAATTTTCGTTGCGTGAAAGAGCGTTTTAAGTGGAAATGTTCATAAATACATATGTGTGTACGGTATATGAGCATTCATATTATATTTAAAAATAAACTAATATTTAATAATTATAAATTTTCCTTATCTTTTTTCAAGAGAACTTGTGTTGGCATGCATATGGTAAAAACCCGATTTTATTATAACTATTGCGAATCTTATTTAAATGTATTTATTTCAAGCAAATGCCGATTAATATTTATATATGAATGCTTGCGGTCATAAAGCTTACCCATAAGTGATTTAAAGCGGTTCGCCTCGAAAGATAATGATTTAAGCAGCTATAAGCGACAAGCATATAAAAGCTCCTGGGCACAACAAACTATTTGACTGAGATTGAAGCGTATGATCCTCCGAAAGGCAGAGAATAAAGCAACAAACCTGGGGTTTCCAATTATCGAGTCTCCATATATTGTTATTTTTTTATATTATGCAATGTAAAACAGAGGATTTTATTTCAAACTTATTTAAGTTATATTTGCTATAAATATCACTTTTTCACACAGAAATTTAGTTAATGACAAATGGTTGTTTCGATGTCTTGTAATCACGGTTTCCCTTTTAAAAATTTTTGAATTATAATGCAAAATAGATCAACCTCAATATTAACTTAAGCTAAGGACAACAGAATTAATACCGCTGGGTCTGTGTTTGAAAGTATGGGTTTTGTTATTGTAAAACCATCATCTTTTGTAACTGTTGTTGCATAAAACTGTGATTTATTTTATTTCAAAAGATGCTATGACCTCCAGGCGAATTTTCTGTTATATAAACTTAACTAAGTTTCAATATAATTGCATTATATAAATATTTCCGATTACAGTCGCTCTTCGGCAGACAATGCCAGAAGACTAAGAAGCTTTTCATCGGAATTAATCTGTTGTTCAGAGGAGTCCGAAGTTCATTCGAGGGTTCAATTACTCGCCCTATATACAAAAATGCAAGAGCACATATATATACATAAATACATTTTATACAATTAAAGAGGAACAGAGAACCTTCTTCGCTTACACAACTTGTTCTTACCATACTAGTTTTTCTAGTGCAGTTCCGCTTTTTAACCGACTCTGATAAACAAAATTGACTTTTAACCGGTAAATATGCGATCATATAAGTGTGAAACTAATATAAATTCAAGTAATGTATAAAAAATCAAATTAATAAAAAAAATATATATTAAATATTTTTAACCCGCTGCGAATGTCATTGAGTCGCTGTGACCCACGCGAGTCTTTATAATATTTTCAAAATAAATAAATACTTAGCCTAACAGCCGGCATGACAAATGCAATTTGAGTGAGATATGATTTAAATAATAATTACGTATATAAATACTATTTCCAAAGAGAGTAATATGTATTTATATGTAAAAAAATGTATTCGAAGTTTTCTTGAAAACAGCTGTAATTGTTCTAATTTAAGTGCCTAAGAACGCAATGTACATTTGATTATACCTTGAACAGGTGTTTGTAACAACCAAAAGGAAACGTCAGAGACCAGAGAAAATATATGGCATATAGCTGCCATACAAACTGACGATCGGAATTAAAGGCTTGTATTGAAAACTTTTCACGAAATTTTGCAAGGTTTAAGACAACGGTTCCATCTACGCTGAAATTGTGCAGATCGAGTGAAATTAGCATATTGCTGTCATACAAACTGACCGGTCAAAATTCTCGTAAGGAATATTTTGAATTTGTGAAGGGTATTATAGCTTCGGTGCACCCGAAGTTAACGTTTTTTCTTATTGTTCTTTTTCGTTTCACTTATAAACTGTAACAACAACTATAAATATTTTTATTAAGGGTCAATATCATTCAAATTCATTCGCGGTGGGTTAAGAAACATGAAAGTGGTGCTAATTTTTGTGTCAACAAAATGTACGTACAAACATATCAAGTTATATATATTTTCATCTATACATTATTTCGCGTTATATTTGGTGTAAACACACATATTTACATACAAATGGTTGAGTTTGTCTTGCACTGTTGCTACAAAACAATGGAGACAACATTTTACGGTACGCGTAACCTCCAAAAACACATGAATAAACTCAATTTATAGGCAATAACAACAACTCGAAGCCGGATCTGCGGCTAGTGAGCAGATGCGTACAGAGCGGTATATATATACAAATGTAGAAAGGAAGTGAAAACCGGAAAATCGCACAAAATGCATTTTAAAATGTTGCAAAGTGAAATTTTGTACATTCGTATTTACATATGTATGTATGTCTTTACTCATGTTAACACATATACAAGTATGTGTGTATGTACGTATATGCAATATATAGTTGCACATTGTATTTATTATATCCTGTACAGGCAAACTTACCACCAATTTTTGTAACATCCAGAAGGAAACGTCGGAGACCCTATAATATATGTATATATATATAAATGGTCAGCATGACGAGCTGAGTCGAATTAACCATTTCCGAAGTAGCTCTTCAGTTTTTGAGACATCGAACGGAAATTTTACACACTTTTTTTTTCCTAAGAAGCTGTTCATGTGTCAGACCCACCTATATCGGGCCACTATTGGGTATAGCTGTCATACAAACTGATTGATCAAAATACAGTTATTGTATGTACAATATTGTTTTTTGACAACGTATCTTCACGAAAGTCGCCATGGAATTTTGTCCAAGGCAGCGCTCCAATCTACGAACATGTTGTTCAGATCGGACCACTATAGCATATAGCTGCCACACAAACTGATCAAATTTAAGTTATAGATCTTCTTATAGCCTTTAATGCTACAAACAATGCACTTGTGAAGGGTATAATAGCTTCGGTACAGACGAAGTTAATATTGAAGTCTTACAGTGCATTAGTATACAAGTATATGTACGTACATATACAATACATATGTACTTACGTAAAATTAGTGATTGATGTGCTTGAAATATTATAACACTGACCGACTTCGCTGAGGTTTTTGAGTGATTACAATTAAGAATTTTTCAACAAAATTTAAAGTATAGTTTTTACAAGCACTATATTTTTTAAAATTAAAACAACTTCAAAGTAGTTTAAAATTATCTCCATCCGCTTATCGAGTAGCATTTCTTTGATTTTTAAGAGGAAAATATTGTGCCAAAGACTCGACAAATGTCTTTGATATTCAAAAGCCAAAGATCCATATTCCGGTCATCGCTGGAAAATTTCGAACGGTATTTCTCTTTATCTACCATAAATAGACCAACAGTTTTCGAGTTAAGTTGCAACACAAATTGATCAAGTAGGGAAACACTGAATTTAAAGGCGTTAATGGGGGCGCTTGCAGCTCTGTTATGTGTTTCTTTGAAGTATTACTCCCATTTGATAGAAATGTACTCCCATGTGGGGTCTTTTTTTGCATTTTCTGAGCAGATTTACCATATTAATGTATATAATTTTTTTAACATCCGAAAGAAAAGATTTCAAGAAACATATAGCCTCCTGACTTGACAGTTTTTGATTGAAACTAGGTCTTTTCGATTTTAAGTCGAAGAAAAGTTTGCTCCTTAATGTTTTGAATTTAAAAAAATACATTATGTTTAGTATATAAGAAGGTAAGTTTACACCAAATCTCGTGAAAGAACAAACTTTTTTTGTACAAAATAAAATCAAAAAACACAAAATCTTGGGTATATAAATTTTTCACATTATTTTTCCTTTAATCTTTGCTATTTTAGCTTTCGTTTCCGATGGATTACAACCTATTATGAATGTCTTTTTTTTTTTTAATAATTCAAAGGCTTCTGCACCCCGGAAGTCAACATATCCGTGATAAATAAAATCGGTCTAGGCGTTTTTGAATTATTAGTGGTGTAACTAACCCGACTTGGTTGTTTGTTATGTAGAATACGTACTGAAAATTCAACAATTTCTCATAAATGGAGTGAGTTAAACATTTGGGTAGACCGTAAATAACTCTCCGATTACTAAATATGTGTTACTAACCTAAAAGTTTAGACTATGCTCAACTGAATTATAAGATTCAAACAAACGAATTAACTTATTGTAGAATCCGTTTTTTCGATTGAATTGTTTTTAGATTTCATATTTAGTGATTTCATTTGCTATTTTATTTATTTATTTTATAGCATCACGTAGCCATCTTTCGCCGCTGTGTTGACACACGTTATAGACACCGCTCGTGATAGCGCCACTTTGAATACAAAAGCCGCTTGAAGAGAGCTAATATGCTGCTTTCAAGCTAATATGAGAAATTCCAGCCATAAAAAATGCACACACAAGTCTAGCCACAAAGAAACATTAAAAAATTACATAAAATGGGAGTACAAGGTATTAAAAAAACCCATTTCGAAAACAACACACTCATTATTGTTACATATAAGCCAACGTATTTTAATGGTGAGAGGCCTGTATAGTGGACGTTAAACAAATAGTTTATACATATATGAATATGCATATGTGTATACATATGTATATATATTGTATTTATATGTATGTATGTATTAAGTAATTTGAGGTTTTCCCCAAAAACTCCTAAATCACTGCACATACAGGAACGTCAGAGCGGCGCGCGGCCGCAACAGCGCAAGGTGATTGCGTGGGCGCGTTGAGAGCATAAAGTAGATAAATAAATAAATTTTATTTGTGTGCATTTTAGTTTTGCTTAATGCAATTTATTGCCAATTACTGCTTCAAAATAGCAAGGTTATTTATTTGTCATACATTTTTTTTGTTTTTTTTTTTTTGTTTTTGATTGCGTGGAAAAGTTAAGTGCACGAACTGCATGAAAATTATTGAAAAATACATTGATGAATTAACTTTAAATTTGAAGTTATTTCAAAATAGCTTTCAACTGCAGCTGATAAATGACTGCATACATAGTTTATTCATTATCTTTCGGCTCATTTTGTATTTCTTACTTTGGTTGGTTGCCTCTTGGTTGTGGTGATATAAGTGACCCGTTGAACCGGTCAGTCGTTCTTCTCTCGTTTTTTGTACAATATAAATATTACGTGTTGTGGTGATCGAATGGCAAAAACACTTGTAACAACTCTGTGCTGGCGAAACTAAATTAATTTCTTTTATTTTCTATATATTATATATTCTTATTATTTTCTATTTGCATGTCAAGCTCGGCTTTTTTTTTAATACAATTAAATATGTACATATATTTGTATTTTTACACTTTCACTTTCTTCTTACATAAAACACGTCTCAATTCCACTGACGCTCAAGTCGGACTGAAACTTTACAATTACGAACGACAAATGCACAGCTCACTTTGGTCCGACTTGTTTAGTTTATTTATTTTTTTTTTTTTTAATATTGCGCTCGTTGAGTCGAGCTTCGAGCTTTCAATGGTGAGCAATACAATTAGCTATAGTTATTGAATATGGCAGCCAGTGGTCCGGCGCTCAGACAAACAAATTAAACTGCTAGAAGCTCAAAATCGATTATTGTTAAAAATTTATATGAATTGTTAATATATAAAAAAAAAAGTAAAAAAAAAAAAATTAAATTGAGTTGTACACAGAGCTTTTACATTCATCATAACTTACAACCAAAATTGGCTCTAGTCTTAATACATGACACTTCGATTGGTCCAGAACTTTTTCGCGACATTTTTTGTAGATAGGAATATGTTCCGCAAAGTCGTAGTACATTAGTTTGCTCTATAATCAGTAGTATTCATAGCGCACGCAATGAAAGAAATTTTTATTTAATTATCATCCGATTTCACCCATTTTCACACTGTCGGAAAGTTGTCGAAATGATTTATCCTGGGCAATTTATAGGTTTTCGATTGTAGGCGTGGCAATGGTGCCAAAAGACATGTGTAAAAAGTTTCTTCAAGATGTCTCCTTTTTATTCAAGTTACAGCTTGCATAGACGGACGAACGGGCATCCAGATTTTAGCTCGTCCCGTCATCCTGATCATTTATTGGTACATATAACCCCATATATATCTCTATTAGTTTTAGGTAATACAAACAACAGTTAAGTGAACAAAACTATTATACTCTGTTATAATACATGTGGCAAGAGTATTAAAATCTTTCACATGTATGTGCATATATCGTGACATAATCGCTTTGCCTAGGTAACACTGGGGGTTTTTCGAAATTTCAGTTTTTTCCCATTCGTAAAGAAATTTCTATAGTTGTAAAAAAATCGGGTAATTTGTTATTGTAAAACGAAATATATTAACAACGCTTTACCTCGTAAATTATGGATAGAAAGTGTTCAAAATTTCAAAACGATCGGAAATATTTTTTCACAATTCCATCAATTCAATAATGGTTTAAGGTACCTAAAGGGTACTTTAAGCAAAAAAAAACATATTTTCCATTTTAGAAAATCCTTGACTGACCTAATACGTTGATTGCTAAGTCAAGCTCTGGCTGATCTGATAAATATTTTTCTTACCAAATATATACTCTAATCCCTATAATGAAAGTTAAATAATGACATTACTCACTAACGGGTTAGCATTTGTTTTTGGTAATCTTCATAAAACAGGCATATATTTTTTTAAGTATTTTAAAGCGTAGCGATCAAATACAATCATCCAAATCAAGCGCGCGAAGACCGGTAAAATAAGCATATTCCAAAAGTATTCAAACTTATTACTATTGGAATAAAAGCATGCATCTTCAGAAGATGACAGAAGCTTGTACCGCCAAAAGTTCACTTGACCTTGACGCTATGCAATTACTCAGAAAGCATTGGAAGCGTCCCATATTCGGGTCGCCGGGGCTCTGCAACAATTTTTTGAAAAATTTTTCTCTAGCAATTCACCATAATCATCTCCGATCTCCGACTTTCATACGGGCCTGTTCAGCGATGTTTAAAGTTATAAAAAAAAAAAAACAACAACCGTATCATCAAATAATATATCCATTCCACATCCTGTAGTAAGACTATAAGCAGTAAAAGAGAAATATATTTAAAATACCTAGTTATTAAATTTATAAAATAAAATGAAGATTTAGGGCAATTGGCAATGCCGCCAGTGTCTTAGCGAAATACCCATAAACAATCGCAGCTATGTTCACAAAGTAAAAATCTGTAAAGCTGGAAACTGTACAAAAAGTGTGTAGCTCTGTTAATTGGAATAAAAAATGCAGTAAAAAGTGTGAATTAAGAGCGGAAATAATATACAAATGGCTATCCAAAAGCCAGGCGAGTGGGCGAACTCACTTTTAGCCCGTTTCGAAGACCAGGTGAGCGTAAAACATGAATTTTCACTCGGTTTCGCCCAGGGCTCCTGTATAGCTATGCAAAAAAGCTGTCAGAAAATGTCCCTATCGATTGAAAAACTTCCCACTGTGCGAATGCGATAGCAAGTGTGTGCGAATGAAATAGTTGGCGTTTGTTATTGTTTTGGGAAATTCATTTGTTTACGTTTTGTTTATACCGGCTGGTGTAGTGGTCGAGTGAGATTATGAATGAAATTTGATTAGACGTACGAAGTTTATGAATGAATCGCAACTGCCAATGTAAATGAAAAGTGAAAGTAGGGAAATTTTAACGTAACGCCACTAGTTGCAGCGCATGAATGACAGAATAAATGAATGGTTTTACGTTACACTAAACCAGTGAATTGTCGAATGCGTACGCAAACTAAGGGAAATTTGTAAGTGTATTGGAATGTTTTTGTTTTTATATTGGTTTGCTACAATTTCGTAGGCGTGTGTATTATTTTCGCTTTTAATGAAATGTAGTTAGGTATGTATTGAAATAATGAACATATTCATAGCTTTGAATTTATGATTATACTTACTTTTTTCCAATAACTATTTATTATAGCTGCCCAATAAAATTGGTTTGCATGGCACCCAAGCGCGATTGAGTCAAGATCAGCTGACTGCCTGTCTTATACAAATTTCTCGTTATCGCTTCTCACTAGTTATATCTGGACTCACCAAAATGTTGCAACGAGTTAATGAAGCGGTAATTTTCATAAATTAATTCTAATTATAACTCAAATTGTAAGAATTTTGTTTAATTGTTCTTTGCAGTCTATGCAAAGTCGTCACGACGCTGAGCGTTGTTATTTTGAATCACTAGTCATTATATTAACAACTCTGGAACGTTGCTTGGCTAATCAGACAAAGGATACGGCACGTTTTGAGGAAGCAATGAATGTTAAATTACTTTTACGTGAAATTTCGCAATTCATCGATGTACAGAGTGATAATAATCCAAATGCAGCACAGTTGAAAGCTATTGCTTCAAGAGTGCTATTCGCACTTTCACAAAATCATTTTTCAGCTGTATTTAATCGCATATCAGCGCGTATACAAGAGCTGATCACATGCTCAGATGAGAATCCTGATTGTTGTGACATTGAATTAATACAACATATTGACATGGACATAAATAAACTAACAAAACTTTTGCATGGTTAATTAAACATAATTTGCTCACTTTCTCATTTAATCAATTCGATTTTTTTTTTATATATTAGTGACCAAGTCGAGATCGAAAAAGGCGCCACCTTTGATATTGTTACATTCGTTAGAGAAAGCCATTTGGAACTGGATCGAATATCATCCACATGAATTTCAGGATCTGCAACGCGGCGTTGCAACAAAGGATATTTCAAGGTACAAAAGCGTGGGAATATTTAAATTTTTTTCTACTTAAACTTGTGTTAATTTTTCAGTTGCTGGGAAACATTGCTGGAATTTGTTGAAGCATATAAAGCTGAAAACAAGAAAAATAAGACCACCGTCTGGCCACTGCAAATGCTATTGCTTATACTAAATCCAGTAAGTTCACATTTGCTGTCGACATTTATCAACACAAACTTTATTTATATTGTTTTTATTTATAGAGCTGCTTGGAAGCCACTGTCAATGAATTACAACAATCGGAAAAGGAGAAAGATAAAGAAAAATACAGAGATAGAGATAGAACGTCGCTAACGCAAAACTCTGCGCAAACTGCACGTGATAAAGAGCAATCTGCTAAACAGTTTATTGAGGGTATTAAACGTGGTTTGGGGCCACACTCGCCCTCAAAGCAAGTGACTGAGTATGCAGCTATTGCTTGTGTGAAACTATGCAAAGCCTCAACATATGTCAATAACAACGATTCGAATAATGTGCTCTTCAAATTAGTGCAGTATGTCATTAATGATTTGAAAGCATTGCTTTTTAATCCGGTCAAGCCATTCTCACGTGGTCAAGCATACAATTATGCTGACATTGAGCTTATGATCGACTGTTGGGTTTCACTATTTCGCATAAATCCGCACAATATCGACACATTAAAGGTCTGTCTCAATTTGTCTTCACCGCAGGCGTATCACTTTGTAATTGTCTGCTCGCTGCTAAGGTAAATAATATTAATATGCTCATGAAATAATTAAAAATTAAAAAACCAAAATTATTTTTGGGCCCGCCATAGTGTACATATTGTATAAAATGATTACGATATCTTATGTTTTCAACAGATTAACACACATACATGTGGATTTTCGTCTACAAAATAAAAACTGTTTCCGCACCATCCATCAGCCAATACTATCATGGTGGGCCAAAACCAATGTTGTACATTATCGTTCGGCAGAATTGCGTGCACTCTTTACCGATACCTTGAATAAGGCCACACAAGGTTATATTGCGCACACGCCACTGCGTATGATAACATCGCTGACGCTGAAGTCGAAAGATACACAGAAAGGCTTAACGCGTTCCGAAGAAGGACCTGCACATAAAATGTTACTGCTTCTTTTGGTCCGGCTTATACATGCTGACCCGATGTTGCTTTTAAATGTAGTTGCATTTAAATACATATATTTTGAAATATGTTTTTTTTTTTTAAATACAAATTTCTCTTCACTTGCAGACACAAGGCAAAGTGGCGCATGAAATGCAAAGTTCCTCACTCGAACTCATCAATGGCCTTGTGAGTCTCGTGCACCAACCCACCATGCCCGATGTAGCGCAGGAAGCTATGGAGGCATTACTAGCTTTACACTCATACGATAAAATCGAATTATGGAATCCACAGGCGCCAATGAATTGTTTTTGGGATGTCAGTTCGCAGGTGCTATTTTCAATTTCACAAAAACTTATACAACACCAGATTGCCAACTATACGGATGTGCTGAAGTGGATGCGTGGTATATTGAGTTGTCGCAATGACTATCTGCAGCGGCACAAGAAGTACGCACTGGTCGGTCATGAGCTGCAAATCTGTCGGCAGGCGCGCATTAAACTGGAAGTGGTGTTCTTTATGTATCTGTGGTCAGTCGATTTGGATGCAGTGCTCACGTCACTCTCCTGCTTTGGCCTCTTATGCCAAGAGTCGGATATTTTGTTGACGGCTGATGATTCGGCGACTGTGTTACCTGTTGCCAATTATCAAATCTATCAGGAGCTTACACAGTTAGCAAGCTGTGAGTTTTGCAGCAATGTTTTTATAATAATAACTATTGAAAATTATTTGTTTCTGCTTGTTACAGCGGATACACGCATCTGTTTTTATGAAACTAATCATGGCAATGCATACAGTGAGTGGACTTTTTTAATATAATTTTAAATATATAACATATATATAATTTTTGCAATGTTTTTAGACCGTCTTGCTCTGCAACGACGTATGATGAATTTGTTGCGCAAAATCGAGCACTGTGTTGATGGTGTACAAACAGCGTGGGAAGAGACCTTTAGGTATTGTAATCTTTTAATTTTTTTTAAAGTTATATTTTCAAATTCCTACCTTTTGTTTAAATATAATTTTTTGGTACAAATATATTATTTTATTTTAAAACGCAGAACTGTTTAAAAAAAAAATTGTAATATTTTCGTTTTTTTTAAGTACTCCCTAAATTTTTTATAATATTTCTAATTTTTACAGATAAAATTTTTTTTTTCAAAAATAGTTGTTTTTTTAAATAATTTTTTTTAATTTTTGATTTAAAATATTTTATTTATTTTTATTAAAATTTTTTTTTTTAAATATATATCTTTTTTTCAAAATAATTGCTTTTAAAACTTTTTTTTAGTGATTTTTTACTTTTTAAAATAATTTATTTTTTCATATATTTTTTTCAAAATATTTTTGTTTTAAAATAATATTTTTCTTCCGAAAATATTGAAACATTTATTTTATTTATTAAATAAGAAAAATTTGAGTTTCTCAATCAGGTTATTTTAAAACCTCATTTTGAAACACACATTTCTAATGCTTTCATTTGTTTCGAAATTCTTATTTTCGCAATAGTTATATATGATTCAATTTTATTTTTATATATTAGATTGATGCACACATATGAATTTAAAATTTTCAAATTTGGAATTTTTTTAAGTTAATTATAATTAATTATTTCTTGAAATATTATTATTATTATTTTTTGAAATATTATTATTATTTCTTGAAATAGTATTATTATTTCTTGAATTAATTAAAATAATAACTTTTTTTTTTTAATTCTTAATTTTTACAAATATTAATATTGATTAATTGATTTATATTTATTATTTCAAAAATCGCGAAGTTCCTACTACTTTCTTTTCTTTCAATAATAATTTATTTATAAATATTTTTTCCAATATTTTTTAAATAACTGTTTTAAATTATGCAATTGCTTGTTAATAATACATTCAAAAGTCATATGTTTTTATCATCAGTATTTTATATTCTTAATCAGTTTTTTTTATTATTAAATAATTGAAATATTTTTCGAAAAATACTTTTTTAATAATTATTTTTGTTTATAAAATTCAAATATTCTAACACATATTTCATACTTCTACTTTATCGATTTTTTTCTCACCACTGTAGAAATTGGGAACTCACCAGCAAAGTATTGCAAACATATCCCAAATATAAAAGTGACGACATCCAAGCAGAGCTCTTCCATCGTGGCGTTGGCAAGCGTCGCGCAAGTCATCAAAGTTCGGAACATGATTTAGAAGAACACATCACTGAATGGGCCAACATGACATGGTTTCTTCTAACACTTGGCGGTGTGTGTCTGCAAAAGCGTTTGGCTTCGCGTTGGAAGCAAATGCAGTTACAAAATAATTCCGCAACTGCTGGTTCCAGTAGCGGTATGCCAGCGACGGGCAATCTCTTACAGTCGCAAAACAGTTTGGCGCAATCGCAGAACACTTTAGCAGCATCAGGCAGTTTGACTTCAATATCCTCAATACCAGCTGTATCGCTCTATTCGCTCTACTCATGTTCCACCAGTTCCGGACGTGGTTCTCTACTGCATCCCAGCACCATATCATTGACTACTATAGTGCCGGTGCCACAGCAAGATTTGCAATACTGTCCGGTGTCACAGTGAGTATTTGTTGTTGAGGAAACTCGCAAAGTAAAAACCTTCACACATTTTTAATTTTAATCGTTTTTTTCTTACGTTCCACAGATTCATCGGTCAATTATTGCGCTTGCTGGTGTGCAATAATGAAAAAATTGGTTCTAATATTCAGAAAAATGTGAAAGATTTAATTTCAGAAGAAATGACGCCACAACTTTATCCCATAGTTTTCGATCAAATACGTTCGATAGTTGAGAAATTTTTTGATCAACAGGGGCAAGTGAATGTCTCCGAAATCAATACCGCCTTCATCGATCATATTATACACATAATGATTTCGATATTAAGTCCTCGACCCGTCAAGGATCCGAATAATGAGCAAGTCGCTGCTTCCGAGTACCTGAGTGTGACGAGCATTGAAGGCATGATGCTGGGCATTGTGCGTTATATGCGTCATCGTGAAATGAATGTGTCAGGGATACGCGCCAAAGCGCACCTATGTAATTTAGTAGAGATAATGATAAAACGTCGCGATGATTTGGCTTTCCGGCAAGAAATGAAATTTCGCAATAAATTAGTAGAGTACTTAACCGATTGGGTTATGGGCACCTCACACCAAATAGTACCCACACCCAACGAACCACCGCCATCAAAGTGAGTAGCACAAATTTATTTGAGACTTAAATTTAGTAAACACAGGGCATAATAGCTAAAAAGCGATTTGAGTCATTGGCAAAAGTGTACTTGCAGTATAGAGACTGAAGCTCATAACTTTTTTTCCCTAAAGTCTAATCCGTTGGATTAATATTCACAAAAAAGTATGAAAACCATGAACCAACGCTATAATACCCTTTACTAGTACAAAATATTTCATTCATGAACTTGAACTTGGTTGAATCTGAACAATTTCTTCGCAGATTGAACTGCTACCTTAGATAATAATTCATGCCAAATTTCATGAAGATATTTCGTCAGATAAAAAAGTTTTCCATACAAGGACATGCTTTTAATCGTTCAGTTTGTCTGGCAGCTATACGAGTATGCCACAGTGGTCCGTATTATTTCGGAGGCTGTTCTGTTTGTTTCCAGCAAGTCTATGTAGCGGTAAATTTGGCGAAAACATTGCAGCAGCATCCTGCTGGCTTGAAAATTGTTGGGATCCTAGTAAACCTCAGTGGATATACCTAGACGTCTAATCAACTGACTACTTAGACACATTCACAATTTTTTATATTTTAATTTTACTACAAGCAAAATCTCCTTCTTATTATGTGTTAAATACATTTTTTTTCTTAACTTTTCAGTCCCGCTGAGTTATTCCGTGAACTCGATATAGCTTGTATGGAAGCTGTAGCCGCTCTACTACGTGGACTACCTTTGCAACCAGAGGAATCCGATCGTGGCGATTTGATGGACGCGAAGAGCGCACTATTCCTAAAGTATAACACAACGAATCCATATTCCGTTCACACATTTACATTACTAGCTTTTTTTTTTCTCATCTCTCAGATACTTTACGCTTTTTATGAATCTCTTAAACGATTGCATTGATAGCACTGAGGCAGAGAAAGAACTAAATAATCCACCACTACTCCCACCGCATCCGCCTGTTAATGGCAGATTGAGCATGTTACGCTTTTCCACCATACAAGCGATGTCAAATTTGCTCGGCGCCAACATCGACTCGGGTCTGATGCATTCCATCGATCTTGGCTACAATCCCGATTTACAAACACGCGCTGCTTTTATGGAAGTGTTAACGCGCATCCTAAAGCAAGGTACTGAATTCGATACGCTCGCCGAGACTGTGCTGGCTGATCGATTCGAACAGCTAGTCCAATTGGTTACAATGATTAGCGATAAGGGTGAGCTGCCAATAGCGATGGCATTGGCTAATGTAGTGACCACTTCACAAATGGATGAATTGGCACGTGTGCTGGTAACACTATTCGATGCCAAACATCTGCTTTCACCGCTCTTGTGGAATATGTTCTATCGCGAAGTCGAAATATCCGAATGCATGTCGACACTATTTCGCGGCAATTCGCTTGGCAGTAAAATAATGGCATTTTGTTTTAAAATTTACGGCGCAAATTATTTGCAAAACTTATTAGAGCCGCTAATACGACCGTTGCTCGATGATCCGACCACTAGCTATGAGGTGGATCCAGCTAGGTAAGTTATATTAATGAAATTAGTAAATATTGTGATTGGTTGCAAAATTCATTTCTACAGACTGGAGCCCGGTGAAGATTTGGAACGCAATAAAGAAAATCTAATATTGCTCACCAGAGTCTTCTTTGAAGCGATACTCAATTCAGTGGATCGTTTTCCCTCACAATTACGCTCAATGTGTCACTGCCTCTATCAGGTGTTGAGCAAACGTTTTCCCACCGTCTTGCAAACTAATATCGGTGCAGTGGGCACTGTGATCTTCCTACGCTTTATAAATCCAGCTATTGGTGAATATTTCCCTCCCGTTAATATAAAAAAAAAACAATCACTTATATTAATCATGCACTCACTCTACTTTCCAGTCTCACCCCAAGAACTCGGCATTGTTAATCGTCAAGTACCCGCTTCGGTGAAGCGTGGTTTAATGTTGATGTCGAAAATCTTACAAAACATCGCCAATCATATTGAATTCTCTAAGGAACAGCATATGGTATCATTTAATGATTTTCTACGCTCACGCTTTGAACAGGGTCGTCACTTTTTCGTACAAATCGCCTCGGATTGCGAGACGGTGGACCAAACATCGCATAGCATGAGTTTCATCTCAGATGCCAATGTTTTGGCACTGCATCGCCTGCTGTGGACACATCAGGAGCGCATTGGCGATTATCTCTCCAGCAGTCGTGATCACAAAGCTGTCGGCAGACGTCCTTTCGACAAAATGGCCACATTGCTGGCTTATTTGGGGCCGCCAGAACATAAACCAGTGGATTCACAGTAAATAATTAATTATGATTTGAAAAAAATAATAATAATTCTTATTTAATTTAAGTTCTGTTCACTGCAGCATGATGTTCTCATCCTATGCGCGTTGGAGCTCTATTGACATGTCATCAACGAACTTCGAAGAGATAATGGTGAAACATCAAATGCACGAAAAGGAGGAATTCAAAAGCATAAAATCCATGAATATCTTCTATCAAGCTGGCACAAGTAAAGCTGGATTACCCGTGTTTTACTACATTGCAAGGCGTTACAAGTGAGTAGTGTGCGCTAGCGCTGCAAGTTAAACAATTAACATTAGTTACATGCTGACTTGACAATCATTTGCATGGATATACTCGGTATATGTTTTTTGTGCTTATACACAAACAATAAAAAAAATCGTCATGCAATAGTAAGATCTCGTCTGTACTCTTTCGGTCAGATCGTGAGTGTACAAATAATCCGGTTTACAGCCGGTTTTATATAATTGGTATTGACCGTCTCCAAGGACTGTTATTTCAACGATCTAACGCAGCATAGCCGTTTAAGTGTGCTGAAACCGTTTTCTCTAATTAAAATTTTTTTTTTTATTATTACCACTATGTTTAGCGAATTTTCACCTTTCTACTTTGTCACTTACAGAATTGGTGAAACGAATGGCGATTTACTGCTCTATCATGTAATACTCACACTCAAAGCATTCTGTCACTCACCTTTCGAATTGCTCATAGATTTCACGCACACCTGTTCGGATAATCGCTTTCGCACCGAATTTTTGCAGAAATGGTTTTGTGTGCTGCCAACCGTTACCTATGAAAATTTATACACCATTTACATTTACAACTGTAATTCATGGGTGCGTGAATATACGAAATTTCATGAACGCATACTGGCGCCGATTAAGGTACTTATATTTGTAAAAAAAAAATTTTTTAAATAAAAATTATTTTATAACTATTATTATACCCATAGAGTGATCGCAAACTAGTGTTCATCGATTCGTCCAATAAACTCAATGAATACATCGACACTGAACAACAGAAACTGCCAGGCGCCACATTATCGCTAGACGAAGATCTCAAGGTATTCAATAACGCGCTCAAACTTAGCCATAAAGATACCAAAGTTGCTATAAAAGTTGGACCAACTGCATTGCAAGTTACAGCAGTGGAGAAAACCAAAGTACTCGGTCACTCAGTGCTGCTGAACGATGTCTATTATGCCTCCGAAATTGAGGAAGTTTGTCTGGTGGATGATAATCAATTTACGCTCTCCATAACGAATGAAAGCGGTCAGCTAAGCTTTATACACAACGATTGTGATACCATTGTACAGGCCATAATACATATACGCAATCGTTGGGAGTTAAGTCAACCGGAATCGGTGACGGTGCACCAGAAGATACGCCCTAAAGATGTGCCCGGTACACTTTTGAATATGGCATTACTTAATCTAGGCACCTCAGATCCCACCTTACGTTTAGCTGCCTATAATTTACTCTGCTCACTCACCTGTTCGTTTGATTTGAAAATTGAAGGTCAACTATTAGAGGCACACGGTTTGTGTATACCATCGAACAATACAATTTTCATTAAATCCATTAGTGAGAAATTAGCCACCAATGAACCACATTTAACGCTCGAATTTCTAGAGGAATGTATACAGGGTTTTCAGCGCAGTACAATTGAGTTGAAGCATTTATGCTTGGAATATATGACACCGTGGTTGAATAACCTATTGAAATTTTGTAAATCCAACGATGATGCCAAAAAGCTAAAGGTCGCACAAATTTTAGATAAATTAATTTGTCTTACAATTGAACAGAAGGAGATGTATCCATCGGTGCAGGCGAAAATTTGGGGCTCTATTGGTCGCATACCCGATCTTATCGATATGGTGCTGGACAATTTTCTACACAAATCGATAACATATGGTTTGGGTTCGCCGCACGTGGAGATTATGGCCGACACGGCTGTAGCGCTCGCTTCTGCGAATGTGCTGTTGGTCTCGAAGAAGATAATAACGCGCATGTGCCGCGTCTTGGATAAGACCTGCACAAATCCAACACAGTTTCTGGAACAGCATATGATGTGGGATGATATAGCGATACTGACGCGTTTTCTACTCATGTTATCGTTCAATAACTGTCTTGATGTTGTAACACATTTGCCATATCTATTTCATATTATCACATTTTTGGTGAGTAGTTAAATTGAGTGTTTTATAATTCTGTTTGTGTTAATTTTGCAAATGATTTATTATTGTTTTTGTAAGTGAATTCTTTTTTAAGAAGATGTAATGATATCAAGTTTCTTCTGCAATATGCGGATCGTTGATTAAAAATCATTTATTGTAAAGTGAGGTTAGAGAATTGTAGATTGTTCGCACGACACTCTTATGTTTATACTTAACGGCAACAGTTTTGAATTTATATCCGGTCAAGAACTATCAAAATTATTGCATCCGCTATTTGTAATGTGTAATGGTGTTTGGAGTCAGTGGTCCTTGACTAGAAGATCTAATCACCACCCATTGCAGATGAAGTGCTCGAGTTGCCCCGAGAATCTAGAGTGACGTATTGTAGCAGGTTTCTCTGAATTCTCGCATACCGTTTACAAGCCCTTTGCATGACCAGCGAACGGCACTGATATAAAAGCTCTCTCCCTATGGTCCGACGCCGTCAAAACAGCACGTTTTCTGAGCCTACCGTTAGATGATTTCTATGGCAACCAACCCGCACCTGACAACCTAAGCGGGGACTAGATAATCGCTACAACAACAACAACAATTAGAAGACTGAGAACTAAATCGAAGCTTATTCATTAAAAACCATTTGCTTTCGTTCCTGATATGTTAATGAAATCGTAGCATTTTACAACTTCATTAACGTGTCAATCTAATTTGTTGCCAGTAACGTGTCTTTGTTCTTTCCCTGCTTTGTACGGATCATTTGAAGTTTTGTTGTCCTACTGTACGTCGCTCTCATAGAGTGTAAATGTCTATCAATAATTTACAGATGGTTCTACAGTACCGGCATAAGTTTTAGCAAAGCTCAAATTTTAAAGACTTGTATTTTCCCCTACATGGACTATTGTATCTACATATCTTTTTATATATTCAATGTATGTAACATAACCTCACTTTCAAATTTCGAAAAGTTTGTATCATACTTTATTCTCTTTCATTTAAACTAATAAATAGAGCTTTAATTAACACTCCACTCTCACCCGTTCTACTAGATCTGCTCCGGTTCCGTGACAATGCGCGCCTCCATACACGGTCTCGTCGTCAACATCATACACTCGCTGACTACTTGCACTAAACCAACTTTCTCCGAGAATGCAAAGCGTGTGCTCCGGCTGGCACTCGAAGAAATCTCACTATACAAATTCTATGCTCTATTCGGTATAAGCAAAGTCAAATCGGCCGCTGTAACAGCCTTCCGTTCGAGCTATCGTCATCCATCCGACAGATGGTTGGGCAATGAGCGCGTCTGTCAAATGCTACCAGCTGATGTAGAGCGAATAACATTGCCCTCATTGGAAGAGGTGGTTGATTCATTGTCGGAGATCATGTCGGTTTGCATGCCCGATGTGCCAGATTGCCAATGGCTGGAGACATGGACGACATTGTCACGCAGTTTTGCCTTCTGTTACAATCCCGCGTTGGAACCACGTGCGCTCATAGTTTACGGTTGCATTAGTAAAAGCATAACCGATCAGGAAGTGAAACAATTATTGCGCATTTTGGTTAAAGCGCTGGAATCATTCAACGACATTACACTAATCGAGGCTATCGTATTGTGTTTAACGCGAATACAACCTCTACTGAGACCTGTTAGTTAATAATAGTCGTTTGATTTCATAATCTCAAAATCATATATATTTTCTATATTTGCTTCACAGGAGTCGCCCATACATCGCGCTCTATTCTGGGTTGCTATCTCTGTACTGCAGCTGGACGAAGTATCGCTGTATGACGCCGGCTTGGCGTTTCTCGAACAAAATCTGCATACATTGGAACGTCAGGGTTGCTTCGATCACGAGAGCATTGCCGATGTTATGATGCAGACACGCGAAAAACTTGAGTGGCACTTCAAACAACTCGATCATGCAGTTGGCTTATCATTTCGCAGCAATTTCCACTTTGCACTCGTCGGTCACTTATTAAAAGTATGATCCATTTTTGTGTTTTGCGAATTGATATTATATGACACTATTTAATTTAATATAATTTTTTTCTCTCTTCTAGGGCTTTCGTCATCCCACACCTTCAACCGTCTTTCGCACATCCCGCATACTCGGCACGCTGCTAAGTCTTGTCGCCAAACCTTTTCATCGCGACAAATTCGAAGTGACACCAGACAGCGTTGCCTATTTGACGGCATTGGTAGCCGTTTCCGAGGAGGTGCGCTCGCGCTGCCATGTCAAACATGCCATACCGCGTTGGACCACCGATTTGAGCATTATGGAAAATGGCGAAACGATCTTTTATGGCAATCAGAATGTATATGATGCGCTCTAATGTTCTAATATAATTATCAATAAAGCTATGTATCTTACAGACGCTCGGCATGTCGTTACCACGTCGCCAAAAGTCCTGGGATATTCTTGATCAATCCGCTTTACAGTTTGCGCGTCATCACAAAGGACCTACACATCAGGTAAGCTACTAGTGTATGTGTGTGTGGTTTTATTTTATTTTCAACAATTTTTATTATTCTCATTTATTCAATCTAAGTAAAATATTTTTAAAATACTACCAACTATGCTACCCTTCTAGCTATTTATAAAATTGTTGCTTTGACTCGGTTGTCGGCATTCCGAAACACAATCGTGCTAGTTCGTATTCATTTAATCTTCAACGGGGTGGTCAGAAACCAACATTACCCATGCCTAGACTCTCAGAGCACATATTGTGTAGAAAGTTCGTGCTTTAAGTAGTTCTAATGTCGACCACTAATTTAAATGTAGGATCAACGCGAAGTATTTTTAGTTTTGTTTTCATTTTCAGGCGCTAAGTAGAAGAAAAAAATTACCTCGAAAAAAGAGTTACGATCACGAGGTTGCAGATTAAGCGAATATATTCTCGTATATTGAGAACAAGCATTTTTCTTAGATTTCAGTAGGTAGGAGTTCTCTAACAGCTTCCAGCACACTACAGAGCATCGAACGTTAGCTGCTTAGGGCACTGGTGTAAAAAGTTTTGCCCTAGATGAAGTTATCACTGGTATTATTTCTCCCTTACTCCGTTTCCATTAGTTTTTGATCAGTAATTGGATTGATCTTACACTCAAGCAGTAGGTATTTCTCTTACTACCACTTGCTACATAGCGATCGCAAAAGCGTTAGATTCTTAATTTTCGATTTTCCTAATTTTAATTTTTTTTTTGTCGGTCAAATTATCTCCGCTATATTTTCCTGCAGTAAATTTACGTCTCAAAATATCGATAATTTTAGACCTGCCAATATCCTCTTCCGATTCGTTATGATTTTTGATCACTTTTACCGTGTTTTGCATTTACTTTTTATTATTATTAGTTTGTTGTACCCTATTTTGAAGAGATATCTTCATGAAACTAGGCATTCATTTTTTTCCCAAGCAGCGGTAGAAACTGACGGTTCAAAACCTAGTCCTTGTATAGAAAACTTGTTTAGTTGAGATATATTCGCAAAATTTGGCATGAATTGTTGCCAAGGTAACGGTACAATCTTCGAGGAAATTGTTCAGATCGGAACACTATAGCATATATAGCTGTCATACAAACTGATCGATCAAAATCAAGTTATTCTATGGAATACTTTTTCTTGTTTTTGTTTTTTTTTACCCAGTTGTTCGCCAGCGTTCATCCAGCTTATTATTCAGTTTGGTAGACGTAAGATTTATGTCATTTTCTATATTTATCGAATTACATAAAGTATAAATCACGTAAAGTAATCGATTGAAATCTCTATTTTCTCTATTTTTATGTTGACAAATATATATGCGTTACGTAATCGAAATGAAAAAATACATGTTAAATTATTGCCTGCTAATTAATTGGTGCTTGCATTACATAATCGTAATAAATCGTGTACGCAAAAAAAATTTCTAATATGTTCAACGTATTGTTACTTATAATTTCAATTAAAATCGAATTTAATTTCACTAATTTTAATAATTAATATCATTAAAAACTAAATACATACCGAAAACAATTGCTCCCAAAACATTTTAATTCTCTTATCGTTTCTTTGTTTTGACTTACTTTATAATTGCTGTTTTAAACCACCAACAACAACCAATCAACTGCATGCGTCTCCCTTCTACTTCTCATCCACCCACCCAATTGATGATGAGCATTTAAACTTGCTATTGGAATTTATTTGTGGTTGAACAATTATAATTTATACTCGTAACTTTATGGTCGCTGCCTGTATTTGGGTTATACACGTATTTTTATTTGGAAAACTATGCATATGGATATGAAACTTTATGAAACCAAAATCAAAAAAAAAAAAATAAAAATTAAAAAAAAAAAACAATCGTCTAGAAGAATGCCAAAGTTTTGTTTAAAACACAGCGCTCTTTTTCGGTGCCAACAACAAAAGAACCGAATAATACGAGCACTATCGAAGAACGCCAGGTATTACGTATTGTGCTCTCTTCTCTTACTTACTACTAGCTCGTCCTTTTCTTATACTCTCATGAAATATGCTCTTCTAGCTCTTTTTAGTTGTAATTAAATTTTTCTTTGTACAACATTTTCATTTGTTCTATAAATGTTGGTGAATGTTTGAGCAGCACACAACACTCTTTGTACAGCACTTGATTTCGTGTTAAAAACCATTCTCTAAATATCTATGCACACACTACAAATAACGAATGAGCACGTAAACTATAAAAGTACTAGAATTATGCGAGAACACAACAGTTGTTATAAGCACCTCTTTGTCGTTCTCTTGGCACCCGCAAAGATTTTTATTACAAATGTTAGTGATTAAAATTGTATATTATTATTTATTTTTTATTAATTTGGTGCGAATAAAATTCATATTTTATTACTAAAAATTTTTGGTTTTAGCTTAAGTTGAATATGATTTATAATATAGTAGTGTAATAGTATTATTTATGATTATAAAAAAAAAAAAAATTTAATTACGCTTAATTATTTATAATTAATATTTAATTACATGAAAGTAAATTATCTGTGTTTCTTAAGTATTTGTTACTTATTATTCCAATTTTTATTTGAATGCCTAGTGGATATGTCTTTTTAAGTAATGTATTTAAAATTCGTAACACAAAGAATTATATTTGTGCTCGCTTAACATATAACATAGATTTTATTATATAGATCGATTTTTTGTTATATTTTATTACATTATTATTTTTAAGTATCTATATCCTACTCAGTGTATATTAAATTTGCGACGAAATTTGTAAGACCCAGAGGGAAACATCTTAGACCCTATAAAAAAAGAAATATATACATATAAATGATCAGCATGATGAGCTGAGTCGTTTTAGTCATGTCCGGCTGTCTGTTTGTATATACACGAACAAGTCCCGCAATTTGTGAGATATTGATCTGAAATTTTGCACACATTCTCCCCAAGAAGCTGCTCATTTGTCAAAACCGTCGATATCGGATAGCTAGATATAGCTGCCTTACAAACTGAACGATTACTATCAAGTCCTTGTATATACAAATTTTTTATTTGAGAAGATTATTTCACAAAATTTGGCATAGAATATTTTCGAAAACAACGCTAGAATCTCCGAAGAAATATTTCAGATCGGACCACTATATCGTGTAGCTGCCATATAATAAATAATAAATATAATTTGTATGACGTTTGCCCCGCAACCTAGGGTCTATCGTGCCCTCAAACTGACCGACCAAAAATAAGTTCTCATATATGAAACTTTTTTATTTGAGAAGATAACAAAATGTCTTCATATCTTTGCAATGGATTATTACTCAAGTTTACGTTCCCATCTTCGAACAATTTGTCGGGGCCACTATAGCATATAGCTGCCATATAAACTGACCGCTCCAAATCCAGTTCTTGTATGACAAATTTTTTCATCAAAACATCTCTAAAATCTTCGCAGAAATTGTTCAGATCGGATCACTATAGCGTATAGCTGTCCTGCAAACTGAATGAAACATTAACGGTTTTTTATCTATTTTTTATTTAATTCTTTTAGGTGTCTTATATTTGGTTGATTATTATTTTATTACTTTAATAATATTTTTTAATGTTATTATTACTTTAATTTATAAAAGTTGTATAATTTTAAAAAAAATTTTTTTTTTAGTGATGCTTACTTGAGTATTATGTGCTATAATTTATTATATGATATTTATCTATACCTTTGTTCATTACACATTATTTATTTTTCCGTTTTGATGTATGTTTTATTATTATTATTTTTTTTTTAATTTCCTTTTTTCAAATTATTTTTATTAATATTTAATTAAATATTTTTGTTTTTAAACTTACTTTATTTTATGTTTTTAATCTCTTTTGTACATTTTTTTATTAATGTTTAATTGCTTCATTATTCATTTATTTAGTTTTATTTTATAATTATTTTTATATTTTTTTCTTTTCTTATTTTGTTTTTTTGTTTGTTATTATATAATATTTTAATTCTTATTTTATTAATTTTTCATTTAGTTATTTAGTTTTGTATAACTTTTAATAATTTTTGTGTACCCTTCTCCTTTTATCTTAATTCCTTTCCATTTTACTTTATTTCAGTTGTCTCTAATATTTAGTTAAATTGTTAATATCTTCTATTGCTTGCTTCGCATGTCTATATAGCTTTGTACTTGTATGCACCTAAATGCCGAAATTTTTCAAATCCAACCGCAAAAAATGTATTACTTGCATAAATACTTCCACAACTAATGTATGCCAATATAAAATTGTATTCTTTCTTCAGGAGCGTGGTTCGCGTTCATCTGTTTCCAATGAGTCCAATGTACTATTAGATCCCGAAGTGCTCTCCGATTTGTCCACACAAGCGCTGGTATTAACCGTTTTGGCCACATTAGTGAAATATTCAACAGACGAGAATGAGACACGCGTGCTATATCAGTACCTGGCCGAGGGTTCGGTCGTCTTCCCCAAAGTATTTCCCGTCATGTAAGAAGTGATTCAATCAAATGCCAATTTTTCGATATTAAATAATTTTTCTTCTTCTACCTACTTTTGAACTATAACAGACACTCGCTGCTAGATCAGAAGATTAACAATATACTATCAGTCTCACACGATCAAGTCGTTTTGAATTCCGTACAAAGCATCATACAGAATATGCTCGCCAGCGAGGATCCTTCACAGCAGCAACTACATTTCCTGCAAAGTTGCGGTTTTGGTGGACTCTGGCGGTTCGCTGGCCCATTTACCAAGGTACAGACGCATATTTTCTTTGTTTAATATATACAATAAAAAAATACTACTCTTCCCCAACCACCAGTACACCATGATGGGCGAATCATCTGAATTATTCGTCAACTGTTTGGAGGCCATGGTTGAAACATGCCTGCCAGGTGATGAGACTGTGCCGGTGCCGCCATCACCACGTCCATACAATTTGAGTTCGAGCCTCAGCAGTCTTACTTTAGGTTCACCAACTGATAAAGGTAAATTGTACACCAGAAAATATTTGCTTTTCACTAAGAAATCGAAAATATTTTATTATAACTTTGCATATAGTTAGTACATGACATAGTTTTTGAAATATATTTTGCTCTATTCTCCGTTGCATAACTTAGTTGAGTTCCGTTGAAAACTAACGTCAAAGTAATCATGCAGCCAGTTATGCACACAGTTATAAACTTTTTCTAACATTAACGTATTGAATGCGTCGTAGATACAATGCATTGCGCGGCAAATATTTTGTAGTTGAGAGTTTTGCTTTTTCTTCAACAGTACACACACACACACATACACATAATATTTTAAGCATAGCAAAATGGCACGTAATTAAAATTAAAAACTGTACACAATAGAGAATGCCATAGATGGCGATTATTTTAATATATATTTTAAAATATTAGAGTAAAAATTAATCGCATATATATAATATTCGAAAACAGTTAAACATATAATAACACAGTTATTATACAAAGTGTAAACCCTTCTTCACATTAAATTCTTACGAATATATTTTTTTTCTTTTTTTTGTATTCATATTCTTCATAATTTTTTAATTCTTCCATATATGCATGCATTTTTTTTATTCACCCATATTCGGTCCACCAGTATGCACATACATTTGTATAAATATAATACCGCTGAAGTCCTTGGTCTAAGCGAAAGATCGTGCTAAAAATAAAAAAGAGTACAAATGTTAACTAAAATACCGTCAAACTTTAATGACATCTAGTCCAACTAGCCATATATAGCTGCCATCCCAACTGTACGATCGGAATAACGTGCTTGTATGGAAAACTTTTTAACTTGGAGAGATATTTTCAAGAAATTTGAATCTCCAATCTCCGAAGAAATTCGGATTGGACCATTATAGCATATAGCTGCCATGCAAACTGAAAAATCAGAATCAAATGCTTGTATGAAAAACTTTTTCATTTAACGAGATATCGTCACGAAATTTGGCACGAAAAGACAACGGTGCTATTCCCAAAGCAAAATTTTAAATCGAAAAACTATAGCATATAGCTGCCATAAAACTTAATTAAAATCAAGTTTTTGTAAGATTTTTTTTTTGTATTTGTGAAGGGTATTATTGCTTCGATGCAACTAAAGTTAACGTCCGCTGTGAGGTTGTTGCCTGAATTAAAAGCGCTCGAATACACTAATGTCATCCGACAAGGCTCTACTTCAAACTTCGTTACGCGGTAGAACAATGATCCGTTAATTTTACAACAACCAAATTCACGTAAAAAAAACTACCGAATGACGACTAACGATTAAACAAAACTAATATTATTTTTAAGGCAATTATATTTCCCTTTCTCGCTGAATACAAATCATTTTGAAGAAATGTTTCTCAAATTTCAAGCTTCCACGGAATGGCAAAGACCCACCTGAAGCCTGAACCACAGAGAGCGGGTGATTTCAATAAGCCGAGTCCAGAACACCTCAGCTGTTATACGGATTGTGTTTTGAGTTATCTTTAATTTGTCTTCAATACGAAAATATTTTCTCTCTCTCTCTCTCTCTGAGTATATGATAATATAGGAACATAATTACCAAATTCAACGGAAGAACACGAATTTATTAACTCCTACCAGTCAAGTTAACATTTCTGATGAACTTCGCTAAAATCTTAGCATAGTTCTATAATGATTTAATGCTTGCTTCCTGATACTTTTGGTGCCTTTGTAAGAAACCTTAGCCGAGAATAAACTCGGAAAATCTCTTTGCGTAACAGCAACTGCAATTTGGCGTTGAGAATAGAGATTCCGAAATGAAATATGAAATAAAATAGTCTCTAGAGTAAAATATAATACTGCCTAACTTATTTTATACTACATTTTCCTATGCTCAATATCTCAACCGATTAGTGGAAAGCCTATATTGGTATATACCATACAAACGGGTGATCCAAGTAGAGGTAATTTTTTGAATAGCCTTTTTTTGACAGATCACGCGTGAGTCGTGTCTAGCTGTCATGTAATTTTTGTTCAGTATTTTTTGACATTTCATCATGGAAAGACTTACGTCTGAACATCGTTTACAAATCGGTTCACTTTCACGGTCAACAAAAATTCACGTTCTGTAAAGAATGTGCTTCGCGCGCTTTGCTCAACTTATGGTTAACATAATCGGTCTACTGAACGTACTATTAGCCACACCATCACCCATCTTGAGACCCAGCATTCATTAATTTATTATATTTGACCGATTAGACCACGTCCAGCACGCAGTGAAGAAAATATAGCGGCCGTAGCTGAGAGTGTACACGAAAACCGTGCTATGAGGCCCATTTCTGGCTCAATTGGTATATAAACAAGCAAAATTGCCGCATTTGAGACGAAGAGCAACCTGAAGAGATTTAAGAGCTGTCATTTCATCCAGAAAAAACAACGGTTTTGTGTGGTTTGTCATCGGTCCATACTTCTTCAAAAATGATGCCGGTGAGAACGTGATCGTCGATGGCGACCGTTATCGCGCCATGATAACCGACTATTTGATGCCTGAAATTCAAGCTCGTGCATCAATCAATGGATTATATGAATATTGAGAGAGCACTTCGGTGAGCAGATAATTTCACGTTTTGGGCCGCCTGTGGGGATATGTAAAGTCTAAAGTCTATGCGGACAACCTCGCTTCGATTCAGAAAACATCACGTGTGTAATTCGCCAGTTACTAGTCGAAATGAACTCACGAGTTATCGAAAATTGAACTCAACGGATGGAGCATCTGAGACGTAGCCGCGGCCAATATTTGAAAGAGATAATCTTTAAAAATTAAATGCCAAAGAATATTCTTTCGAATGTTAAAAAACGTTCCCCATTAAATTTGAATTTTAAGTATGTTTTTCTTTAAAAAAGTAGGGAACCTCGAAAAGAAAATTAGAAATGTTCATAATAACAATAGCAACAATAATGTTATTTGATTTGATGTTCAAAATTTTACTCTGCAATGTATTGGCAGCACCCTTGCCTACCTGGAAGGATGACCATTTTCCGATAAACGTTACTAAATTTTGATCTTTATCGAAAAATTCGAATATCCTTATTTATGGTAGTTTTCTAAATTGTCTCAATACACGCAAAACCAATAATTTCCTACATTAGTGTAATTCCGATATATGAACGTAATTTATTATAAGCTCAGTTTTTCATGTAAAGCTCATATTTTTCTTTTAATTTATTCATCGAATTGAACTATTCTCATTTCGTGCTCTAAAAAGGTATACTTGTATATGTATTTGCATACACATTTCTGATGATTTGAATGTAAAAGATGAAACTTATTAAGATTTCTTTCATGCCACATTATCACACTTAAAAGACTATTATAATTACACATATGTATGTACATATATAACATATTATATATGAGAGTAAACGATTATGTTGCAATTGCTTATGAATTTTTCCCCTCCAATATTTTTCTTTCAATATCCGTAGCATTCTCATCGGAATCATTAGATCATGATACTTTTGGCGGCAGTGTTAGTTCCCTGCGCCGCGCTTCATGCAGCAAAGCACGCGTTAAACATCGAATTACCGATAGTCCAGCACATTAATTATTATAAAACCAAACAAAAACCTAAAATCCAAAAACATAAAAAATTAAAAAAAAAAAGATAATATTATATATTTTCATTCTTAACAGCTACGCACATTTAAAAGCACCAAATTGCATATAAAATGATTACAAGTATATATTTCGTAAAATCAGCGCATAACCTAAAAAAAAACAATTTTTTTGGAATTTTCGGTAACCAGTTTTGAAAATTTTCATAGCTTCATCTGAAAAAAAAAAATATTTAAATAATAATAAATTGAAAAAAAAATTTTTTTTTGGAATTTTCGCGTGCAAGTGTTGAAAATATACACATTTTTAACTACATTAAGTAATATATAAATGCAAGCTGCAGTCAAACTCAACTAATGCTTGCTTTTAATTTACCAAGAAATTAACAAAAGCTTCACTTTTTTATTTTATTTTAGCACATAATCGCATAGATAACTATATTATTTATACGGTTAGCAAAGCTAAGAAAAATGTTAAACATTTTAAAAGCAAATACCGCTAATTCCTCTTACACACAAGATACGCTCACGCCGTGCATTCGTTTTGCAATAAAAAAAGTTCCAAATTTTAGTAGATTATTGCTTTATAATTGCCAAATATGGCATATGTATACTATATTGCTTGTATGTAGCATATTATTTGTTGTCAACTGTTGTTGGCATATTTACAATAGAAATTCCATACTCTTGTAAGCGTGTGGCAAAAGAACACTCGCTAAAGTTAGAAAAAAATCCTTCAAATAGAAACACAACAATCCACAATATAAATAATGTCTACCAGTTTTAACTTGTTTTTAATAAAACATAACGTTTTACTCTAAATATTTATATTTCGCATAAATACCCCAAAGTAGTATTAGCTGAATAACCGCTCAAATATCCCACTACCAAGATGTTAAGTTTTCCAAATTCGTCAGGTATCTTAACCCAATAAAGAACACTATTTTGGATAGAATACAACGCCAAATATGGTATATCTCTGCTTCACGATCTCACTTAATTCGTGAATTTTATCGAAGATTTTTGACTATATCACGTAATAAATTTGCATCACTTGAGTCAAAAAAAAATTTCCAATTTATTAAACTTTAAATAGTCTTAAGGTCAGATTTAAATAGTTTAAGGTTTTAAGTCACACCTAGTGTGACAGCCTAAAAAACTTCGACATCTTTAATTTGGAATTCAAAAGAAACTACTGTTTTGAAGTTTTCAGGGTTTATTTCTACATGTTTCAAGAATACACAGAAAAACATTTTTTAATTTTATTTTTTAAGTTATACGAGATCTCCGACGGCGCTTAAAAAAAATTTACTACTACTGCAGTGATTTAGGTCTTTTCCTTGCATGAAACCTAAAAATACAAAAATTCTCGTTAAACTAGAAAGAATTCTACGTACAAATCAAACCCGATC